GTGAAAAAAGTTCGATAATTATGGACGACCCCTAAATCAATAATTTATATACATTCAATAATGTGCCTCATTGCAACCACGCATTGCTGCGTGCACGTTACGAAAACGACACTGAGACAGACGTGCTCCTGGCAGAACCAGGAGCGCCATTTGCGTTCAAAGATTCGATGATTCACTGAATTCTGCAATTCACACTACGTATCGCAGTTTGCTGCGTTCTTCATCGATCCACGAGCCAAGAGATCCACCGTTAAAAGTTGTCTATTGACATTCTTCAGTGTATCTGTGTGTCATTCGTTCGGCCTGCAAACGTGCTGTTCGCTGAGTTGGAAAGACAGGAAAAAAAAGGCAAACCACTTCGTTCGAGGCCGAGGCGACGCGCGCGCGCGAGCGAGCGGCCCAGTCCCCATTTAAGACCTTCACCGCAGAGCACGGAAGGTAACCCCGAAAGAAGCAGCCGACGGTGAATACAGCGACGTCGGTGATGAACACCGGCCAGCCACTGCACCGTCTCAACCGAGTGCACAGTCATGGTACGATTGCTGTATGCAGCCGAAGTTCACGCGACAGCAGCGAACAACGTCAGCAACATCATCGTTAATGATCCTTCCGCAGGTTCACCTACGGAAACCTTGTTACGACTTTTACTTCCTCTAAATGATCAAGTTTGATCAACTTCTCGCTATGCCCGGCAACACAAGGCCGCCGAGCCAGCAATCCGAAGATCTCACTAAACCATTCAATCGGTAGTAGCGACGGGCGGTGTGTACAAAGGGCAGGGACGTAATCAACGCAAGCTGATGACTTGCGCTTACTAGGAATTCCTCGTTGAAGACCAATAATTGCAATGGTCTATCCCCAGCACGATGAAGTTTCACAAGATTACCCACACCTATCGGTGAAGGAAGAACTCGCTGACTTCATCAGTGTAGCGCGCGTGCGGCCCAGAACATCTAAGGGCATCACAGACCTGTTATTGCCTCAAACTTCCATCGGTTAAACACCAATAGTCCCTCTAAGAAGTTGGCCGCGATTCGAGAATCGCGTAACTATTTAGCAGGTTAAGGTCTCGTTCGTTAACGGAATTAACCAGACAAATCACTCCACCAACTAAGAACGGCCGTGCACCACCACCCATAGAATCAAGAAAGAGCTCTCAATCTGTCGCACGTGATGTTGTGAAAGCTCGGGCTAGCTCGGAGCTTTCTGTTTGCCGCGGCGCTCGGCATGCCTACATATGTACATACAGCTGTACATAGGTCAAATTTGCTCTGCCCACGCGCACCAGATCAATTCTCTGAAATAGTATGTGTGTCAGTGGGATTCACTGTGGATCGCCATGATTTTGGAAGAAAGCGCAGCATGTGTGCGTGAAAACCCGAGTTGAGAAACCAAACCGACAGGGCGATTTTTATGAAACGTTGTACGGGAAGAGCGTAAATACCCGGTTTTTTTCGGAGCAAAATGGAATCGAGTTCCCAGATACGTAGGAACCAGGGAGTAGTACAATACCGTATTGTACTACTCCCTGGTAGGAACATCACCACAAAAAAATTCAATAATCATGAGACAAGGGAGTCGTAAAATACCGACTCCCTGTATGAGACCCACCGGCAACGTGGTCAAAGACCGAAAATCCCACTCACCACAGCATTCTACTATAATCGGTTTTGATATGCATGGTGCTGCACAGCTAGCACACGGAACCAAACGTCAAGGGTCAACGCAATATTAAACCAAGGAAAACAAACAATTGTACAATAATGTACAAAACGTATAAAACAAAAATTAATGATGACGACTAAGCCCACAAGCAAACGGCAATTCCGCTTTGTATTGAGCAAAAAAAGTATACATGTATATTTCGAGTGTGGAGAAGTCAAGATATAAAGCACTACAAAACGTATTATAAGCCATTTCGAGACAGGCACTGCGAGGTTTGTCAAGGAAAGGACGTTGGAAAAGCAGCTGGAAACGTCAGCCAAGGAAAAACAGTACGCACTCACGGATGCTGCTGCTGCTGCTTCGGCGGAAATAACTACAGAAAGCGGATGCTCCTGCCGCTGGAGCTCGCTGCACTGCCGTACGACAGTCGCGAGTCGGTCAAGTGTCAAGTCAGTCGGCGGCAGGATGCGGAGCTGTAACAGTAGTAGGGTTAGCTACCCCGCTGATAACAGGTGGGGAAAACGTGGAATCAACTTGGGAATAAAAAAAAAAGAGTAAAGTTTGCACGTCCGCGTTACCACCGGCTATACAATTGCGTTGAGAAACACAACCAGCTTAGGAAGTTTCGCATGTGCCAGGCCACCACCATGCCTGTGCTACCAGGGTGGCAGATGCAGCGCCTAACGGCGAGGGTGAGGTAATAAGACAAAATATAATTATAGTAGGCTAGGCTATGGGTGTATAGTGAATCATTCTACTTCCTACAATTGTAGCTGCTCAAAGCAGAGAAAAACTCCAGCTGAAAACAGGTGCCATCTGGCGAGGAGTCCAGAAACAGGCAAGCTATAAGTCAGGCATCATCAAAGACGTGAACCGCACCCATGATCACAAAAGTGATACAAAGGCAGACCAAACGAAGTAACGGAGAGAGAGAGAGAGAGTGTGTGTGTGTGTGTGTGTGTGTGTGTGTGTGTGTGTGTGTGTTTGAGACAGAGACAAACAGGCCACCGGTACTATTTTCCAACTCGCTGGATGAGCAGGCGGCCGGCATGTACATTCAACGTGGCGCTACCGAGGCCGTAACCAGGCACGGCGTCGCCCGTTGCCGCTTTCAAGCCAGTACCGTTCCTACGCAGGCGACCTGCCTCGCTGATATAGTGCATTGGCGAGTCGTCAGTAACCTCCGCCGTAGCGTCTGCCAAATCAGGAGCACCGGTCGGCAGTGAGAAGCCCAAGAGAGTTCTTGATCGATCTGAAAGGGACGAGAAAAAAACAAACAAACCAGGGAGAGCAAGCAGTGTAAGTACTCGAATTTCAGAAATTTTAGGTGCTTGAGATTTTCGGCATGCGGGCAAAAGGCCAGGTTAGGTGAACAGAAATTTCAGGTACAGAGAAGCAGTTCCCTATTGGATTACGTGTGTTATTGTTTGTTCGGTTTATTGAAAATTTCGGTAAGAAACTGACGCACCGAAAGCAGCGAAAATAAAAGCACACCGAAAATTTGTGAAATTGCGGCACTAGTACGCTGTTTACAAGGCGTAAGAGGGGGGGGGGGGGGGGGAGGGAGAGGGGAGAGTGCCAATGTCAACACAAACAGACACTTACACTCTTTGAGACGGTAGTCAAAGGCGGTGGCGGCTGGCGATGTGGTGGGCATGTGCGACACGGCCGTCGCCGTCTTGGCACTGAACAGCGGCACCAGGGTGCTGGACGGCATCGACGGCAGCATCACGACAAAGCAGAGCGCAAACAGCTGCAGGGTGCAGGGAAGAGCACAAGCAAGGACGCACGTGCACACATACACACGCACACAGAAAAACGTAGAGGTTAGCTGTCGCGCAAAACACTGACCAGCAGATTTCGAGACACACGGACCGTCAACATCACGGTCCAAAGCTAACTGTTTCACACAGCTGTATTGAGATACGAGCTGACAGCGAACTTTCCCGGGGTAATTTGACTTCTTTGACTGGTGATCGTGACGAAGGCACTTGAACGTTTCACGCTGGCTTCTACTGCCTATCGCCACTCTGCAGGTTGATTCAAACACCTTCGAGTGCAAGAGGTCCTTACCAGTAAGCCGTAGCGTCCAGACATTGACTTAGCGGCTGCTGACACCGTCCCACTGACCTGCTGGCGTAGCGTGTCCACTGTCACCAGCAACGACCTGAACGTACAGTAGCAGCAACAGCAGTAGCCACACGCGTGCACGCACACACACACACACACACACACACACACACACACACACGTGCACGCGCGCACACACGTACACAGAGAAGAATGACACGTTAGAGCAAGACCACAGATCGGCAGCAGCAGGTGCAGTACAAAATAGAGAGTAAATTATTGTGTTTGTTGCTGGGGAACTCACGACGGCAATCATGCTTGCACTGCGCAACTCACACAGCTCACACGGCTGAAGAGTTTTTTTTAAACCGCCGCCGCGATCCCGCTGCATACAGAAAACACTCAAGCTATCCCTGTTCCCAGTACTGCATTTGACGTTAACACTGTGTGTGCGCTTCATCAAGGCTTCTCTGCATGGCACTCACTTATTCTGTTTCTCCAGTTGCTGAATGCGCTTCTGCAGGCTGGCATTATCTGACGTACATGCCTTCATCCTGCACAAACAAAAAATGAGGTCATCAAGAAGAAACACATACTAATGAGTCAATGATGTCATAATTAACACACTATTGAGTCAATGATGTCATAATTAACACACTATTCAGTCAATGTCATAATTAAAGAAGAAACACACGCTAATGAGTCGCACACGCGTACACACACACACACACACACCTTTTTTCCAGGCCTGTGATATAGTGCTTCTTCTTGCGGCGGGAGTCGGACGCCGACAGTTTGTTCTTGATCTTGCGACGAACTTGTTTTAGTGCTTTCACCTCCATCTAAAAAGTAGCAGTAAAACAAAGTACACAAAACAATGTTAGAAGAGATAAACAATACACGGGAGAGAGAGAGAGATTCTTCAAAGACTAAGGCAGAAATTTGACAAAAAAAGGAGAAAAAAAGAAAGTGCCCCCTGTGAGGATCGAACTCACGACCTTCAGATTATGAGACTGACGCGCTGCCTACTGCGCTAAGGAGGCATCTGGTGAGCTGATTGATAGCAGCGCATGTGAACGCCTCGGTATCCAGAAAGAAACAAACTCCCACGGAAGAGCACAAGCAAAAGAAAAATACAGTGTAGAATAACGAGGAGGTACATGTGATTCTGCGGAACGGCCAAATCTTACCGGATTAAACGGCAGCTGTTTGGGCACCGGGTAGCCATCCGCCTCGAGAACTTCCCTCTCCTCGTCCGTGAGAAAGCGTCGCTGATGATTCCAGAACTGCACAAACGTCAAGAAAAACGAAGAGCAAAGCATACTGTGTGACAGCAGCTCTTATCCAAACTTTACAATTATTCCCAGCTCGACGACTGAAATACCAGGGAGGCCATCAATCTCCTTCCACTTGGGGGGGGGGAGATGGAGTTGCAGAGATCCGGACTACGCACATGCTAGTCTGCGTTGTACGTCGTACGAAACGTTCCTCGAGCGTGTAATGTGATTTTCCGCCGCCGTAGACCTCATATACAGAGTTACACACTATTGGGAGCTTGTATACTCATGCTAATAGGGAATGAGAGAGTTCTTAACGCGGTTCACAACGGCAATTACACCATACAAACAATGAAAAAAACCGTACCATTTTCTCTTCCGAGTTAAACGCCGTCGGCCCTGACATCTTCTCCTGTTCCTTTTCCTCTAGGCAGAAGTCTTCATCGCCGCCGTCGCAGCAGTCGTCGTCACCAGACGACGGACTGCCTACAGACGCTGACGCACTACCACCACCTCGGCTGCCGTGTGTCGACGTATCCATGGCCTGAGCGGACGACGATGACGAAGGAGCTGCAGTTCGGTTCGCGGTCGTCGTTGGCAACGCCGCCGTCATCGTCGACGACGATGCCTGCTGCAGCACGGACTCTCCCAGGACGAGTGCCGCACTACGACCGCCACGCAGCAGATTGTCGGTGATCGAGTGCGTAGAGCTCAAGTCCGCGCCACTGGCAGCGGTATCCGGTGGGCTGGCAACGCCGCTGCTTAAGTTCTGCTCCGGCGTATGCGGGTGCAGATCTGAATCGTAACCTACGGGGGGAAAGACGCAATGCACACGAAAAAAACGCGAAACACACAAACATCCAGATCAGATCATCGGTCGCTGTGAGCTTTCACGACAGTGTGCGGACACACGAGTGTGGATACACACACGGACGTGTGTACATAGCACCCCCCCCCCCCTCCACACACACACACACTATCGCTCACACACACACACACACACACACACACACACACACACGCGCGCGCGCGCGCGACAACACCAGACTAAACAACGCCGAAACAAAGCCTTACCGGCGTCGGTACTGGAAGACGCTGAGCTCACAGCTCCGGGCGACATCTGCGGTACCGCCATGGGCGGTGATTCAGACGACGGAACTGGCGACGTAGTCTGAATGCTTTGCAACCAGCGGTGGAACTTCTCCAGCTGGTCTTGTGCGCTTTCATCCAGCTTCTGTCCCTGCTGTTGAACTCTAGCAAGAGCGCCAGTACCCGTGATTGGTGAGTTTAACGTCCCACTTGTCCTCACCGGTGTCGATGTCTGGACAGAGCCATTCAGCACATCCGCCGTGAGCACGCTATTAGCAGCTCCGCGTTTCGGCAATGGGTCTTGAGCAGGGGCGAACAGCTGCAAGAGTCCCTGGTAATCGTCGGGAAGCAGATCGCTATGGTTGCCACCGAAGTCAGCACCGACGCCAACGCTGCCGAAAAGCTCATCGTTCAACAGGCCGGCAGTCTCCGGCGTCGGGAGCGTGTCCGCCGTTCCGGACTGCAACTGCTGCAGTTCCTGCAGCGACAGGTCGACGTTGTCCCAGTTGACGGTGCTGTCGAGCAGCGTTTCCATCCAGTTGTCGGGCACGTACACGCCAATGTCGCTGCTGGGCTGTCTCGGCGCGGCGTCACTGCAACCGTCCTGCAAGGGCAACGCATACAATATACAGAATTGTCACGGCAGAGAACAGATCGCCATACGAATACAAGAACGTGAGCGCTAACACATACCCATGACTTGGGCGTGCACACACGTACACACATACATAATATACATACACACACAAGTAAAAAATCACACACGCACACATGCAGGGTAGGAAAACTCATCATAAAGCAGCCTCACGAGAAGAAACTCCTGACAAAACAGTATCATACCAGAGTCACGGAGTTCCTGATCGTTTAAACCTGCGACGGTAAACCTGCTCTTTACCGTACGCAGCATACCACAACTCGAACGTAGTGGCACTAGTGCACGTGGGAGAGAATTTTACAGTGCAGCAACCGCATACTAGTACCGCAAGTCCAAATTTGAATTAATTGCAACCACATACCAGGCTCAGTATTTCGCTGATTGGGCTGCCGCTGGATGAAGCAGCTGCAGCAGACATGGCCTCGCACCTTGCATAGTTATGCTCCTCGCCTGCATGGAGGAGATGAATGGATTCGTCAGACGCCGCTCTCTCCATGATCGCTCAGGTCACAACTAACTCTGTCTTTCGCCCAAATTGCGCGACGCGTTTATGATGGTGCTGGGGTCCTTGCTTGCGGATATAATCAATATTTTTTAGGCTGTGCAAAGTAATTCGCTCTCCAAGAAGCTTGTAGGAGTGCAATGGTGCCCGACTTCTTCTCGATGCTCGAACAAACCCGTCTGCTGCGAGCTGAGTACTCCTTCAAGTAAGTAAGACATGATAGTTCAAACAAAACACTGAACCTTGGCCTTTGGCAGCATTACATCACCCAGACGGAATGCCAACGTGGCAGTCTCGTCGTGGCAGCATAATGACATCAACACTCGTACTCCGTCATGTCATGTGATGTGAAACGGCGTGGAACCATGCATGCATGCCTGCATATGGCGAGGCTTGTTTGGACTGACCACAGATCAGTGATCAGATAGGCTACATCCTGGCATGGCACTTGCCACTTGGCAGGCTTGGCTGGCACGGTCGGTGGCATGGCACCCACACAGCAGCTAGCAGTGGCCGCTCCCTACATTTTTAGTACAAACCCGTCTACCCTGCGCTGGAGCTGCGGCATGCATGGCCTACAAACAATTATTATGAGTTCGAGTTTGCAAATCAGAGTGAATGGGAAGTAAAGAGAGCGAGTCTGCTTTGAAACCTTTTTCATAGGGCTAGGCTACAAAAGACAAGTAAACGACATAGCTACATACATGCATTTTTGTATTGTACTACTAGTATTGTTGTGGCCGATAGCGTGTGGTTGGCAGGTGGCAGTACCCTCCAGTGGTAAAAGGGTTAATTAAGTCCACGCCATATGTGGAGTGAAGTGTGCTGAGCATCCCCTGGTCAGGCTGATTTTGTACAAGTAATGAGTTGTAGTCTAAGTCATGATGCACATGTACACTGAGTCTGTAGGTGCAAGGCGTTCCAGGCTGACTCGGACGGTGACTGCTGAACTGAAGTGAAGGGGTTAGTTGGGGGCCTCAGTTGCCTATGTGCACGTGCACAGTTACAGTTGTTACTTGTACTGACTACTGTTGTAGTCGTGATGTCGTTGTTGTTATCATGGGGATGGCCAGGATCGACCTGCATAATCATGATCAATGATAATCGGTGGAGCGAAGACCAGGACTCGGCGACAGGAGGGCCTAGGCCAGGGTGTACTGTTGCTGGCAGCTGCAGACTGCATGCAGTACACCATGGTACACACTAGCACAGCTCCACTACTCTCTAGCCTAGCACTAGACCGTCCCTTCATGACTGTACAGTGCTGGCAACTGAAATCCGACCCCCCCCCCAGCGGTGCGCTCACATCGCAATGACCCAACACGGGATGGTAAAACTACGAAATAGAGACCGCTAGAATGTGAACCCACCGCTCAGGGGGTCGGATTTCAGTTGCCAGCACTGAATTTATCATCTAGCCTGGAACTACAGCTGTAGTAGTAGTAGTGATGATCAGCGCATGGCTGCCAGGATACTAAAGCCTGAGCAAGAGGTACATGACATGTACATGTACGTCCTCTTGTGCGGGCAAAAAGAAATACTACATGTAGTACTATTGAGTAATCAATGAAACCAAGAGATTATTATAACCGCATGCAGGGGTTAGGTCAAGGCCATGAACATGTCTGTACATGTGACAAAAGTGTGGTATCCTGGCATACATGTACGTACATATCGATAAGATGTGATAAAAGTCACCAAGGCAAAGAAGGTATTATAAAGAGCAAGCAGAACACAATGTTATTGATCCGTGTGTCAGCAGCCTTGACAACAGGGCCAGCGGCCAGGGCAAATAACACCAAGACTACGACAGCTTTTAGATTAGACAGCATGCCAGAATACCACCTGTGCCACATGTACAGACATGTTCACGACCTTGATCTTGTATTGTGCAGTATTACTACATCATTACAGTCATACAGTCATATGTACGATATCGGCATTGTTAGATTGACAGCATGAAACAAGGTGGAGGACTATAACAAGGTATATCTACATGTACATGTACATGTATTAAATACCAAGAGTACATAACCGTACTCTTGGTAATACTATTACTAGTTTTGAACTAGGAGCGGTGCCTGAGCCTGAGCTATTGTTTGGCAGCTACATGTACAATGACAATGTACGTGCAGCAGTTGACAGTTGACTCGAGTATTGGGTATAATACCATGTACAATGATGTACATGTATTAGCACTGATTTAGCATGCATGCTAGCTAGCAGCAGCATCATAATGACATCATCGTGAGATTCATCATACCAACTTAACTACTACTAAGTAGTATTAGTTATTTGTAGTTACTTTATCATTCTACTCTTGACCATACTAGTACACTGTACTTGTACTCATAATAATCATACATGTACATGTAGGTTCAGGTGTGCTGTATGCTGGTCCCGAGCTCGAGCACCTCGCGCGCCCTTTGGGTGCCGATTTGACCTGTCAAGTAATACTTAGTTGACACTTAACTTGTCACGATCACGACTGTCTTCCACTGAGAGCATACGAGCAGTCCATCGAACCTTGCACTTGACCCGCAACAAACTGGCGAGAAAATACCACTCCCTAGCTGGATCCCTGCTCAATGAATAGTGAATACCCAGTAGTAACTACTAGTATTCACCACCAATCTATAGTGTTGCTCTGAGTACGTGGAGGGTGTGTAACAAAGCACGGTGAAAACTTCACAGCTCGCTTGAGACTCGGTCAGACTGAGCTTTCCACGTCCGCAGGAACGCCACAATCCCGGTCAAGGATCAAGGCGCAGATATCGATACGCTCCAAAACGAGATTATTGCTCATTATGTAGCATATACTGTAACACGTGCAGTTTTCCTCACTGTCTATTTCTATTGCATGATTTGCATCAGGAGATCCCCTCGACCGGCCATCGCACGTGACTACAGTCTACAGACCCACCACAACGTGGTCGAAGACCGAGGACTGTTCCGACCTGGGCATTCGCTGCTTCCACCGTTGATTGGGTGGGGCCCGGTGCCGGTGTCATATAGTAGAATGACCCCCGTAGTGGAAGGCCCCCCCCCCCCCCCCGGTCATTGTACTATATAGTAGATTGCCCCGCTCTACTATATAGTACAACGACCCCCCTCGGCCGCCATTTTTGTAGAGGTCCGTGAACTCCTGAATAATCCAAAAGGAGCAAGGAGCACACAGAAAACGCAAAGGAACACTGAACTTGCAAACTTTCTTCCAACTCCAAAACAAAAACAATCCAACACAAGGTGGGATGTTCATGTCTCCTAAAGAGGAAAAGTGCGCGACCTATGTACAAATGTTGTGGACTTTTCACCACATATTATAGCAATAAAAACTGCTTTATGGCAGTTTTCTAAAAAAAGTAATTGTGTTCTAGTCCATGGACCCCGTCTAAAAAGTAAGAAATTAACGAAATGTGATAGCTGAAAATTAAAATTTCACACAAAACCTCACGATAATCACAACACTTGAAATGCTGCTTTCAACACTAAACTTGTACTGCACCAACAATTGGCAACATGCATGCAAAGGAAAGAGGATCACGAGGGGAAAAGGTCTTCTACGAGCGTCGTACATGTAGCTTTTCATTCTATGTGTGATTATTGTGAGGTTTTGTGTGAAATTTTAATTTTCAGCTATCACATTTCGTTAATTTCTTACTTTTTAGACGGGGTCCATGGACTAGAACACAATTACTTTTTTTAGAAAACTGCCATAAAGCAGTTTTTATTGCTATAATTTCTTTTGTTTTTTCTGTCACCAATCAATGGAATGCCCTATATCAATATGTAAAATTTACATATTGATATAGGCAAGAGTGGGTTATGTACTCTTGATATAGGGCATTCAATGATGGCCTTCACATCATATCAATACCGTGTTATACGTATTGATGTGCAAGCCTTTTCTTGCAGAAAATAGCACTAGCATAATGCAATTGCACGTTCTTCAGCGGGGAAACATGACATGTGAGTAGTGGTCTGGTGGTGGTGATACTTTTTTATACGGAGGTCATTCTGTGCATGTTGCAGAATTTCATGACTCTGTCATAAAATTGTCTTGCCTTTCAGATATTTCAGATCTCCCCACCCTCGATCAGATTTATTTGAGAAATGTAACCAGGTGCGTGTCGCAGATGTTTTTGTTGATTCTGTGTTTATAATGGTTTATAATCATGGGTTTTCGTGATAAGGTCATCCTGCATCATATTGCACTGAAATCGTAATCATGTTGATATGTCAATACAACTTTTGGAAGTAGTTCAATGACTTCAAACTGTTAGTCCACGATTTTCTAAAACAACACAGCAAAAGAGGAACAATAAACATGTATTAAAATGTAAACAAATACATTGCTGAGTCCGACACCTCCTTCCAACAACTACACTGATCCTGAGGATAAAAGGGGCAAGGCTATGGTTGGAGGTACTGAGAGATAAACAAGGCACTCCATAATAATAAAATCTTACACATCTTTTGGTGAGTATGAATGATATCCAGTCGAACCTCTTTAGGACGTACCCCAAGGGACCGATGGTATTTATTATGTGAGTTTGTCTTAACCTATTTATAACCAGTGAATACAAATATTTCTCCAATAGACATACGAATAGATTTCTTCTACAGCAAAAGATGATTCTAAGTCACACCAACTCATTGACTCGTCTCATATGAAACAAATGAGTCACTAGAGAGGTTCTGCAAAACGAAAATGCGTACAAACTTTCGTTCTACGTCATGAAGTGCGAAACTTCGCACGAACTTTCGCAACTTTGGACGCGAAACTTGCAGGGAACGCGAAATGAACTGTCGTAGGAAAATTCGTGAGATCGGGTCATGGTGTACGTGCACTTGGCCCGCGCAAACTACGAAAATGTGCAGAACGCAAAATTCGAACACACTTTCGCAAGGACTGTCGCGAAACTTCGTTTTGCAGAACCTCTCTACTGAACCTTTCTTTAGAAACATGACGGCAACTGAAACAGCAACAGAGAAAGTACGATACATGTACAGCACATTCTTGCAGGTACTACAGGTACTACAAACAGATTGCAGATCGTAATTCTTGCTTTGGCGGCACGAACTTTATTTGGGGCAGTGCAATCCCGGCGGTACTCACAAATAATAAATCAAACAGCCCAGACTCGAGTAAACAAATCCAATCTGACATACAAGTACAAGATCTTAACGAGACTGCACCCATTGGCTTGTTTCGTATGAAGCAA